TCTTCATATGTGTAATAGGAAATTGGGGATAAAGGTGTATTATAAACGGTTACCGATTATCAATATTCCATTGTCTATATACATAATTTTGTATTTGTAATTCACATCAGCAATATCCATTGAAGTATGAGTATTTTTTTTTTAAATGCATGATTTTTATTATTACAATCAATTTTCTTGATGAAATTATTGCAAACCTCAGTAAAAAGTGTTTTGATTTTAAAAAAATGTATCAAGTAGAAAATATCCAGATCATTGCAACCTAAAAACATCATATACAGATATATATACATGTATATTCATTTTCTTGGACTTAACAGATAACTGCAGTAAACAACATGTAAACTGACATTATTTAAAAAGAAGGCAAGCAAATGTGAACTAAATGCATTCCAATTTGCAAAGAAAGTACATTTAAATGGTTTCTTTCTATTGGAACAAATATGAAAAAAATTACAATGACATCTGCAAATACTTAAAAACTTTTTTACTCAAGCACAAAGTGAGACTACTCCAACACTCAACATTCACGTTCTTTTTAACATCCTAACGTTACCTCTCTTTTCATCAGACCTCATGTGATTTTATTACTTTAAAACCATTCGTTACTTCCAAATAAAAGTACTATAAAAAAGTAATTCATTATCAAACCACGTAGAGATCGATTTCTGTCTTATTCGTTCTTAAAACAAAATTATAAATCTTATTTTTCTACGTTAAACTACATTGAAGAAATAGTGTAACGGAGAGAAAATTCCGACTATGGGCCTCCTTCAACAATCTCGATTGTATGGCGTGTCGTCCAGCAATCGTATTTTTCAGAAAGATGCGGATGTTTTATCCTAAAAGTATACTTTTGAGGTATGGTGGGTCTTTGCTCCATGTTTTGCAAACCTAAAAATGTATATTCTTCTGCAATCTTTTAGGATTTACTTTTGAAAAAATAGAGAGAAGGCTTACGCATATCGACAGGTTTTGTTAAAAGAAGAGATCAGGATTTTTTTTTTGTCCTCTTTGAATAATGTGTTCAAGAGCACCACAAAAGAAAACCAGAGGTCTCTTTTGTTTGATACCATACATATGTACGACTGATGAGTTGCATCCTTTTAAAATAAAAAAAAATCTTTTTTGTGCAGTTGAATTGTCATAGACTATTGTAGATGCCTTCTACAATTCTATATTTTTCATTTGCGATTTATAATTTCTTGCATGTATTCTAAAATTCCTTATTTGTATACAATATTATTTTCATTTGTATTGTATGAAATATATGGAGATACCGAACAGCATTCAGAATCAAAATTCCATTAAACAATACAACTTTGGAACTGAGCAATCATGGACCTGGAATTACTAGGCAGGAAGTGTTTTGATGAAAAACTTAAAAAAATTTTCGTTTTCAAGCTGGTGAAGCTATATCTGTGTAAGTTTTCAATTTTTAAGCTATCAAATTTATTTTTCTATATTTAATACAATTAGTGCTTTTAAATCTGACTTTACATGTTAAAAAATGGGTGGACTTAGCGCCCTATTTTGGATCTTTTTGAGACTACTCTAACAAGTTGAAAATAAAGTGAATCCAAAATATACTACAACCACTGGGAAGAGCGACGTATACTTGGTTATTTTAGCTAGAACATATGTACAAAAGCAATGCCTTATTGCCATGAATCAAAATTAAAAAAAGGATACATTAGTGTCGTCTTCCGAAATTTGACATGTACCCAGAGTGGTTTTAGGTGGCGCTATCAATACTAATAGGAGACGGGGCTCTCGATCGGTGTCATTGTTGACATTTCCCCCTCTCTCTCTCCATCTCTCTCTCTAGAAATTCGAATACGTGTTTGGAATATTACAGCGATGTCATTATGATTTTTTAAGAAAAAAAATGTGAGGACACGCAAAATTAAACAACATTTAATGTGCTAAATTCTGAAAACGGCACCAAACATAGTGATTTACATCTAGGTCAGGTTGAAGAATACAAAGTTTCAACGAGTACAATCTCGCAGGTGGACATCACGTGACGAATTGTATTATTTAACAGGTCATCGAAGTCGTAACAATGGAAGCGAGAAGTTTGTTTGGAACATGTTTTTTGTTAAATAAAGTGTGAGCGCACGTTTGTCGACTCTTCTCCTTTTAATATGACATTATTTTGTTCAATATACAACCACAGTTTTCGTAAGAACAGCCGACAAACATGCGCTGACTATGTATTCAGACGATGAAAAATGCGTGACCCTGATTATCTACATATACCAGGGTATTCTATTGATATTCAACAAATCTTCAGGCACCATGCCTTCGATATTTATTTAGTTTACCTCGAAAAGAGCATTTTAAATTCATAAATACACAGTTAAGGTATCGGGGGGTTTATATGATGGAAAAAAAATAACATTTTATGGAACTTAAATTTGCACCATTTATTCTGGCTAGTTAACTCCACCCATTCTTTAGTGTTTATTTAAATAAATTTGCTTCATTTTTATCTTATTTATTTACTTTTGTTGTTCTTCTTAATGCAATTATTTTGCAGTTATTTTGCTTTTCAAGTTTATAATGTTTTTGTTGTTTTTTTCTCTCTGATCAATTTTTAAATTGTTTTATCTGCTTGTGTGTATATAAATACATGTGATTTTGTATGTTAATTTATGTTGTAAATGTTTTCCTGTGATATTTGAACTGTGATAGTTGGTTAATGTGCTCCACAGAGCTCATGCTTATTGTTATGCCATGTAAAAATGCCGACTTTGGATAAAATTTACTTACTTATTTACTTACTTGCAAAACATCAGAGATGGCATTCTATGTTTGTTTTTTCATTTTTTTTTTGAAAGGATTCGACGTTTTAGCCTGTATGGTGTTGATTAGGAGCTAGATTTTCTGGGTGATCAAAATAAATAATTCATTCTGAGAAATGATAACTGAGAAAATAAAAAAAAAAATTATTGAACCTTGTGGTTCTTAACCTACCCCCCCCCCCCCATACACACATACGAAATGGGATGTTTTAGTAAATAATCTTCTCCTTGTCTCTGGTCAGTTTGAACATTAGATATTCTTGCAAGGGCATGAAAAACAATAATCTGATTCGACACCCACCTCCAAAATTCCAATAACAGTCCCAGTTGTTTTGGGGCACCCGAGAGCGTAACGAAATAAATAAACATTCCCTCAGATAAACAAGAGGCCCAGGGGCCACATCGCTCACCTGAGCAATTGGCTAGGAAAAAGCAGAGATCAGATCAGAACTGAAAGTTTACTTGGGGGGGGGGAGGGGGCTTGAATTTAAACCCCTCAGGGGGTCATGATTTCAACAAACTAGAATCTACACTACTTGAGGATGATTCCCTAAGCATGGCTTTGAAGTTGAAAAGAAGATTTTGAAAGGTTAATTTCCCTATATATACCTATGTAAAACTTTGATCGGCCATTTTGGCCCCACCCTACCCCTGGGGGTCATGACTTGAACAAACTTGAATCTACACTACCTGAGGATGAATAGACATAAGTTTCATTTTTCCTGGCCAAGTGGTTCTTGAGAAAAAGATTTTTCCTATATATTCCTATGTAAAACTTTGATCGGCCATTTTGGCCCCACCCTACCCCCGGGGGTCATGCTTTGAACAAACATGAATCTACACTACCTGAGGATGAATCCACATAAGTTTCATCTTTCCTGACCCAGTGGTTCTTGAGAAGAAGATTTTTAAAGATTTTTCCTATATATTCCTATGTAAAACTTTGATCGGCCATTTTGGCCCCACCCTACCCCCGGGGGTCATGATAGTTCATCTTTCCTGGCCCAGTGGTTCTTGAAAAAAAGATTTTTAAAGATTTTTTCTATATATTCCTATGTAAAACTTTGATCGGCCATTTTGGCCCCACCCTACCCCGGGGGGTCATGATTTGAACAAACTTGAATCTACACTACCTGAGGATGATATCACATGAGTTTCATCTTATCTGGGCCAGTGGTTCTTGAGAAGAAGATTTTTTAAAAATGCCATTAATTTCTCTCTAATTCATAATCATCTCCCATTGGAAAAGGGCCTGGCCCTTCATTTGGACAAACTTGAATCCCTTTTACCCAAGGATACTTTGTAGCAAGTTTGGTTGAAATTGGTCCAGTGGTTCTTGAGAAGAAGATGAAAATGTGAAAAGTTTACAACGACGACGACAGACAACGGACAAAGTTTGATCAGAAAAGCTCACTTTATCCTTTGGCTCAGGTGAGCTAAAAACATTTGAAAAACTATATACAATGCAAATGGAACGCATAAAAAACAAATAAAAAGTATGGAATAGAAATCTTTTTTAATACCAATGGAAAGGATAGATTACAAATAAATGTTTTACAATTTAAATGTAAAATATAGTATACAAATGAAAAATCATATGATACAAATAAGAGTTACACAATTCTAATGGAGATTTTTACAATATATTTAAAAAACATTCAATTTTAACGGAAATATTCATTCATTGCAACGTTAAGAATGTCATACAAAAGGTCTTCTTCATGATATGGGTCTCTTGTTTTATTACTCGATAATTCCCCATATGTCTCATACAAAACTAGTAAGTGTCATCTGAATTGAAATAATAATCATTATTTCTAAATTGCCGGCTATTGCTCCAGGGCAGTAAAATTAAGTAATTGTCAATTTTGAGGTCACTGCCACTTTTCCACAGTAAATTTCAGTTGTAAATGAGAGATCTTAAGTTTTATGGTCATGGAGTCCAGAATAATTTGCATTTGACAAAATGTAGATTTACTAATTATAAGTTTTTTGATTTAAAATTGGATATTTGTCAATTGATAATGTGCTATATTTAGGGCTTACAGTCTGCAATACTAACTGACCACTACCTTAATTAGAACAGGTAGTTCACGAATCGATTTGCATGGAATCAACTCATTTTTGACATTTCTACATCAACATGTAGTGTGCTCATCACGTGAATTACACACCAATAACTTTTTGCATATTTGTAAAGAATGTACTTTTTTATTTTTAAATGAGGTCGCCAATATTACCATTTGTCACCTTATTTAGGGCCCACATGATATGGACCCTTACGGAATCAGAGGGGATTGCCACAAAGGCAGGAATTTATCTGTCTCAATCGAGTGTTCAGAAAGGTATTGAAAACGGTAAAATATCATTTGTTATGTTTTGCAATAACTATGGATGTTCTTTTATAGAATTTAAATCCATTTATCAAAAACATTCCATGTCAGTTCAAAAGGCAACTTGAAAGGATGACTAGGAGTAAAGAAAACATTAAAAGTCCTCAAAGTTTTCTCACACCCGCTCGATGCCAAATACGAATGATTCTGAAAAATGATGACTGATGATCACCATGATGACTGATGATCCTTTCCTTTTTGGTGGAGAAGGCACACGGCATTCTAAGTCTAACCTACAGAACAAGTGTAGCGGTCAGAATGATAATTATGGAATTAGAAGGGTTCCTGTGAAGTGTGCCCCTGTACTACGCATGCACACAGATGACCTCCGGGGGTGCTTAACGTCCAGTAACCTTGCAGATATTCTGGATTGATCTTGTGGCGATTTTCCATTTGATGATTAGGACACGTCATCTTTTCCCTTGTTTTCAGTCCCGTTTCATCAAGGAAGTTGTCTGTTATCTCTTTACCCAGTATTTGGTCTTTCTCTTCGTTACAGATATATCCCATTCTATATGATAGGTGTTTATGAAAAGTTGTGGTAATATCTTCCATCACCTGCTCAATACTTTCTCTAATAAACACTGCGACTTTCTTCTTTAATTTGAGCCTTGACTCGGGCTGATAAACTTGCAGCTGAATCGTGGTTGATGTCACTGCTACGGCAATATTGTGATTTTTATAACTAAACAAGGCAGCATTTTTCTACAAACAACTAATATCGTTGTTTTTTAGAACTTGAAAGGTTCCATTGACCATAATTTTGACGACAAGCCGATAGAAAAGAAAGAAAGGTAAAAAATCGAACAAGAACACTAAAACAGAGGACGTCATAGGTGCTTCCTTGATGATAGCCATCTGTTGCTCAGCAAACGGTTTTTTGTTCATGCAAGGCACGTAATGGCAGGTCTCGCCAATCGCTATCAAACCAAGCCTCTGCATATATGACAGCAGAGCCTCTCTGTGATACATGACAAAACGAGGACCATTCTTTTCAAATGATGCGTTTTCCTTTCTCAAGGATTTCATCAATTTTTCATCTTCGTTTTCCCAAATTCTGCTTAAAAGTTCTGCTTGTAAGTTTCCTGTGCTGTAGTATTCATCCCATATATGTTTAACAATATTTATCCCTTGTGTGTGATTTGCATCAGTTATGATGTTTTTAAAGGCATCGACAAACCATTGGACATCAATTATATCTGTCTCTTGCAGACCTTCTTCATTAAAGTAAAGAACTTTTCCAGCGTCGTGATAATATCGCAACATGTCCTTTGTGCTCTCATTTTTTTCACTTTCATTAACTGGCATTCTTTTGCACACCTCAGGAAAAGGCAAGATACGCTTGATCTTTCTATTTTCCTCTATCTCTTGATTCAAAAACTCCCATTCGTGTGGTATTTTTTCACTCCATTTTCTTGACAAAGCAAGGTCTACAATGAAGTTTTCAAGTTCCGCCAAAGGTTCCAACGGAAACTGTGCATAGAACAAAGAGTTTGCTCCGATATACTGTCCCAGATTTGAATGAGGCGACAATGTGTTGCGTAAAATTCTACCGAAGGCCTTTGTGTCCTGTCGTAAAGAACATAAATTTGTTAATTACAATCGCTTAAGTATCTCAAAGTAAAACATATCAGATCAGGCGTGTAATACATGCTGTTCTTTAGTGTATCACATTTTTGAATTTAAATTAACAATTTGCACACTTTTCAAACCCCAACATATCAACGCTTTTTATTCTTATTACATTATTTTACATGTGCATGTACCGTTTTACTCTGCACGGATTGTGAACAATGATTATTCAGTCAATATTCCCTAGACTAATTTACACAAATAGACTTACATTGTACAAAAAAGAGAACTCTTACACTTAAGAGGCCGTGTCAGTAACCATTGAGTATTGTATATAAAGTGAGTGGAATGTGAAAAAAAATATTTTGCTTTAATATTTGGGTGCATGGAAGTATAGATGAATGTCCTATCAAACATGAGTTATTTGGGTCACATCTTCCTTGTTACCATAGCAACGGTGATTTTAATGCTTGAAAAGTGTGAAATTTGATTATTGATAACCCTGTCAAAATTAATTACAGACTCAAACTATGTTTTTCTTAATTTCAATATATATGGGAGATTTAATTTTTCCCATGTTTATTTTAAAGCATTGGGGCCTACTTTGCTTTGTTTCTACCAAATGCTGTAAAATCAACATGATTTATATATATATATTACACGAAAACGCAACCAAACTCTATCATAATCATACATGCAATAGAAACTACGAGCTTTGAAGTTATAAATCCAATAATAAAAAATGGTAGTTGGATACTCTATAGCAAATAATTTGATTTAGAATGTACCACAAATATGAAAACGCGTGAACGATTATCTCCCTTTTGTGGAACTCTCCTGCTGATAAAGAACAGAAAGTTGCTGTTGCAGCAGAAGTCGGAGAAGAAAAACACCATGTAAAGATGTATAAAGCAGGTCTTGTGCGGTTACAGAGGACATGACAGCATCAAAAGTTTGTAGGTGACTGAAAAGTACTATTTATAGTCCGAAATATCTGACGTTTTCCTGGCTTTTTAACTATTTCTATATTTTACGGGCGAGGAAAACGCCAGAACCGGCGCCTTTACGAAAACTAAAATTCCAAGCAGAGGCGGCATTCTCGGGTGTATTTTCGATACTTGCAATTACTTGTCAAACTCACAATTGTATTGTATTGTATCAATAGTACAATGCCTGTAGTACTAACCAATATAGTTTTTATGGTTTGTTTGTAAATATATGATCCGATGGAAACATTTTCTCTGACTGTCGAGATTTGTTTTCATTTCGTGCGTTTACAAATAAAAAAAAATATACAAGTCCTGTATCGAAATGATGAGTGATTATTTTCTTTTCATTGATATTGTCAAGTACTAAAAGCATTGTGCCATTGATAAATTGTGACAACGGCATTTAATGCGGTTCCCAGGTATGGGAAATCAACTCTGACTGGAAATGGCGAAATTTCCAGTTTTCGTAATGGCGCGCTGGTTCTGACGTTTTCCTGGCACAGAAAATATTTTAAAAAAAAACTGAAAAATGCCAGATATTTCAGACTTTATTATTTAGAGCATATTCATCAATCACTGATAAGGTCAAATTGGTATATTTCCACTCGTGTATGTCTGCATATTAGTGTTCCTTTGATAAGTAATATTTCAGAATGCGGGTGGTTTCGCTCCGATTACGTGTTCGCGCCGAGTGGTTTCGCTCCTATCACTTGTTCGCGCCGAGTGGATTCGCCCCTATTGGTTTCTACTGTATAACTGAAGATACCTCTTATTGGATAGTCGTTTAAATAAAATATATATTAAAATATTATAAAGAAAAGGTAATTGCAATGAGATGGGAAGTCCCTAAGTATAAGAATAATCGTATTCATGCAGAAGAATCCTTGTTCTACATAATTTAATATCGTAAATCAAACGAAAAACAATGACAACCTTCATTGAAAAGTCAGCAAGATTAGTGATAAAAATATTTATTTTAGCATCCAATATTAAATTATTCTAAATTTGACAATCAAAAATGTTCCAATGTAAAGTCATAATTTGGCTAAAAATGGCCTCACTACATGTATAAATATTAATACAAAATGGGATTATTATCCGAAATAACACGACATTAATGCTTGGGGTTCATTAACTACAAAGTACTAAGTTATATAATTACAGGTAATCAGGGGGAAGGCATACTGCATACTAACCCATATCTTACCTGTAGATAATTGGGGCGAAACCACCCGGCGCGATACCACTCGGCGCGAACACGTAATCGGCGCGAAACCACCCTACACCATATTTCAAACTCTTGTATGTCTGCATATTAGTGTTCTTTTGATAAGTAATATTTCAAACAATATTTCATAAAATTCATAGCCATACCCGCTATACCTCAGCTCATTATATCAGGTCTATCAATATATATTTTTTTCGGAGAGCTACAGTTCTGCAGCTACACTAAAACAAGATGACAAAACTTGAGGTTGCTAATATTGATTTAAAAAGGGGAAGGGAAACTAGGATAACAGACTCAACTCTGGTTTCAAAATTTGCTCCTGGCCCTTAAAGTGGAGGGGAACCAGGATTTATAAATTTTAACTACAGGAAATTTTGACCTCCCAAAAAAGTAAGGAGTGGGTGGGGTGCTATTCCTCCTAAGCCCTTGATCAGGTTGGGCACAATTTCTGAATACGATAATTCTGAAAATGTGAGACTAAATTGGAGTATCCCCTTTGTCCAGTTTAATGTCTTATATCATATCCCAGTCACTATATATGCTATAGGCTCAAGTAAGTTTGTAAACAGGTCTAAAATATTTTCAGGAGAATCATGATGATAATCAGTTGCAATGTGAACTACCAAATAACCATTAAGTAAAAGCAGATCCAGTTAGTGTGGAACAAATAAAGGTTTGTATTGAAATTTTTACATGTACTGAATTATTATGCCCAAAGAGCATGAACATATTTTTGTTTGTCCTTTCTGTCTATCTGTCGTCAGCTTTAGCCTTTACCATGACTTTTGAACTGTGAGATCATATTTGGTATACATAATCCACTAATTAAGTTCTTTTAAATTACACCAACGTCAGTAACCTTTAGACCTTGATCTTTTTGCTAAAACTAGCTTTTCTATATTTGTTGACGCTGGGGGCATACTGTTTCACAAACTTATCTTGCGTTAAGTTACTTTTAGCATCAGCTTGTTTATTATAAAGAATCAGCAACTATATGCAGTAGGGTCATGTAAATTTGTAAACAGATATGAAATACTTTCAGGAGAATCATGATGATGATGAGCTGCTATGTGAACTACCAAATAACCATGAAGTACAACCAGATTCAAAGCATATGGAACAAATAGAGGTTTGTACTGAAATTTTTACATGTACTGAATTGTTTAGAACTACTTTGAGCATCAGCTTGTTCATAAGAGCCCAGCCTCAAAGAGTACCGGTAATCACTTTGTTCATCCATTTCTTTGTCGAGAGATAACTCAAATGCTATATGTCCTGGAAACTTTAAACTTGAAAGGATTGTGACTCAATAACTTAAATCCATTTGACCTATGAACTTCATATTTTAAACCCAGACAAGAAGCCTAAAATGGGCCCATATTGCTCACCTGGTCTTCTGTCAAAGGTTGTTAAAGACTGATATCATGAGGCACATTTGTGTCATGTAAGCTGAGCTTTTGAGGCAGGTATGAAATGCATTTCAGATAAGACAATTTCATTGAAGTTTGACATTGAGTTAGGGTCATGGCACACCACCTTATCATTAGGAGCATTGTATGCCAAGTATGAAGCTGTTCCATGAGGCATATAGAAATACAGACCTGAAAACTCCATCAAATTTTACCTTGACCTTGACATTGAAGGTGTGACTTTGGCTCAGGGCTGTGAAACACTGTCTCAGCATGAGTAACATTTGTGTCAAAATGAACTTGTTTTAAATGAAGTTGTTAGTTGGATTGATTTTGTATCTTTCTTTTGTAGGTGGAATCAACTTCAGACGACAACTTTTCCCAACACCTTGTGAAAGTCATCTGAATGCCAGGATTCTCAAGAGAATGAAAATAGTCCATTACATAGAAGGAAGACCTTGATTATGTATCTTGATGCCATTGGTGAAAAGGCAGAGGTCTAACACTGACTGTGAAGAAAATGACTTAACAGCTGATGGGAACATGAACAATTTGAATCAGATTTCTGATATGGCTCTTAAAGCAGTGAACTAAAAAACATTTTCTTACTAAGTTTAAGATTTTGATATCAAAGTTTTTGGAAGGGGGATATAAGAATCACCCTGTTTGATTGTCCATCTGTCTGTGGACAACACTTGGATTATACTGCTCTAGCTCTAGTTGGTTAAAATAGATAATATCTAAAATCAAATGTGTCATACTTCTTGTTTACTGTGCATAAATGTACTTTGAAGAACATACTGTATAAGTAGAATTTTTAGCGAGGATTTAATTTTGGCATTATTAGAGAGGGTGCTGACATCGCTAAAATTGAATATTGCTAAAAATTAATGTCTTATTATTTGTAATAGCTTCTTTAGTAAACATTTTAAAATCGCTAAAATTACTTCTGGCTAAAAATAAAATACCAGACTTTGGTAGAAATCACTAAATTTGCATCTCGCTAAAATTTCCACTTATACGATATATTATTATTTTTAGCAAAATATTTCTGTAAAATATTTGACTGTACACTTCAGAAAAAATTCAGTCTCAGAATCAGGTACAAGATATGCTGTAATGGTGCCTAGTTGTGTCGCCTGCATAGCAAGGGGACTCTTAGGGATCACTTCTCCATTGTCTGTCAGTCTGACTAGCTGACCATCAGTCTATCTGTCTGTCACAATTTGATATGTCATACCTGAGACACACATTTTCAATGGAAAACTCTTGTTTTACGTTCATATCTGTGATACTTTGAGTGAGCATTGATATTTGACCAGTTGATTGGTCTTAGATAGTAAAATAAGATAAAACTTGAAATATAAAGTTGCTGTAAACTACATTTTTACAAGCCTTGCTGATGTTAAGGTTTATTTTCGTTTGAATAAGTATAAGGTCGTCTTGTGTTTAACAGACACGACTTCTCATTATACCCACTGTAAACGAAGTTTGGGGGGGTGTATATATGAATCAGCTTGTCTGACTATCCGTCCGTCCGTCTGTCTAGCTGTGCAAACATGTACGGTCCATATCTTTCTTACGGAGAAACATTAGAATCTACTACTCCATACAAAGATTGCTCATGACCTAAGAGTGTGTCATGATCTTGACTCAAGGTCATTTGGGGAAGTTCAAGGTCACTGGAAGAAAAATTTCATCATTTGTGTCCGTTCCATATCCTTCTTAGTAATTAACTCGGTAAGTTCCCATTTTACAAAAAGATTCCTCATGACCTAAGGGTGTGTCATGACCTTGACCCAAGGTCATCTGTACATGTTCAAGGTCACTAAAAGAAAAATTGTTTGGTACATATCTTTATTTTGGATAAACTTGAATCTACTACTTCACATAAAGAGGGTTTATGACCTGGTGTGTAATGACCTTCAGCAAAGGTTATTTAAGTTCAAGGTCACTGAAAGGAAAATTTCTTAATACATGTATGTGCATGGTCCATATATTGCTTATGGATAAACTGGTTAGTTCCTATTTCACACAAAGATTCCTTATAACCTAAGGGTGTATCATTACCTTGATGCAAGGATATCTATGCAAGTTCAAGGTTATAAAAGCAACAAGTTCATAATTCATGTTTTGTACATATCTATCTTATGGAAAAACTTGTTAAGTTCCTGTTTTACAAAAAATCGCTTATTGTCTTGAGGATGTGTCATGACCTTGACTCAAGGTTCTTTGTGTAAGTTTAATGTCACTGAAAGGAAAAACTTCATAATTTGTGCCTGGTCCATATCATTCTTATTGATAAACTTGGATACTTTCTTGTTTACACAAAGATTACTTATGACATAAGGGTGTGTCATGACTTTGACCCAAGGTCAATTGTCCAAGTTCAAGGGCACAGACAGTAAAAAAATTATAATTCATGTATGGTCCATATCTTTCTTATGGATAAACTTGGAAGGTTCTCATTTTACACAAACATTGCTTTGACCTGAGAACTTGTCATGACTTTAAACCAAGGTCATTTATGTAAGTTCAAGGTCTCTGACAAAAAAATCATAATTCATGTGTGATCCATACATTCAGTCTTTTTTTTAGGCTGCACCTTCATTTCATTTATAAAAAAAATTAATGAGCAATTACATTTGCACTAAAATGTTTAAGCATTTCTCTCTTCTCTTAGATCCCTAAAATATTTAAGGAATCACTGTCTAGTTTTGAGAGTATGCCAGGGCATCAACAATAGTGGGAAACATGGGATAATTTGCATAACGGGCGAAGCCCGTTATGCTTAAATTATCCCATGTTTCCCACTATTGTTGATGACCCTGGCATACTCTCAAAACTAGACAGTGGTTCCTTATATTTCCATTTCATTGTGAAATAAAATTGTAGATTTAGACTTTAATTAATATAAAAATGTAGACATAGACTTAAATCACACAAGGACTTCCATGCCAATTTCAATAGTCCTCGCCCACTGACGTCAAACACAAAGGCAGCCGCACGAGATTTACATGCATCTTTGGCCTCCTTAGCGCCAGACACAGAGACAGATGCGCACGAGATTTGCATGCGTATTTGGCCTCCTTAGCTCCTGACCTATCGACCTGCCTAATTTACATTCCGGCAGAATTATCAAGAAATAAACTCCGACAACTTTCAAAGAGTTATCACAGAGAAAAAAAAATTAGAAATGGAAATATTCATGATTTAGCACTTCTGAAAAACCCAGCAGGGGGTATTTTGTCCCATTTGGACAGTTCTAGTTGTTTTTAGGTTGATAACTTGAATAATAAACATGGTACAGCAATGTAAATTAGCCAGTAGACAGAGCATTGGAGTCCCTTTGGGTTGAACATTGCGTCATTTTGACATATAACTTCGGCTTTTGTTATGTCATATATGGTCAAGTTTTTGCGTATTTGGTCCACATTCTGACTATATTGTATAACTATTAGACATTGTAGAGCAATGGTACTTATTATTACTTATATGATGGGGTAAGTTCAACAGGGTTGACAGTTGATTGGGATGCCATGACCCAAATATTCCACTTGAGAGGCTTTGTAGCAACCTCTAATGATAAAACGCCGCTTAATGATACAAATAGCGTTAAGCGTTGCAATTGCAACGCTTAATGCCATAAATTATTGCATTAATAGCTGACATCATCAACCGCTAATGCTAAATTGCCGCTTAATGACAGAATTATATCATTAAGCGTCACAAATGCAGTGCAACACCGACGCTTAATGAAACAAGCAACTATCGACATATTCGACGCTTAATGATACACACTTGTGTATCATTAAGCGTTGCAGTTGCAACCCTAAATGATATAAAATTTAGAAATCGCTTGTAATATCTAAGAGAAACACACATCCACCTTTCCTGAACAATGAGATATCACTTGTCTAAATATTTATATATGCCCTCGTGCTATATAAATTGTAATTAAAGAAGTTTTACTGTGTTTTCTATCTAGTCAAGGGAACGTCTTTAAGCCAGGGATGCTTAAGAGACAGACAGTCAGATAGCTGGAAGAAAGAGATACAAACAAAGGAATAAATAAAATGATATTCAAATCATTTTAAAAGAACCATTTTTACTGAAAATACAAAAGCAAACAAGCAATTAAATTTCTTTTAATTCGATACAATGATTTTATTACTCAACCCTTAAATATATAGAATATATTTAAATATACCCAACTTTGTATTTTAGATTTGATACAGGTTAACACATGTCATTGTTAACGTTTCAGATATACATGTACGTATTGAGAAATAAATTTATTTTCACTATAATTGTATTTTTAATCTGCTTTGTTTCTTCAAATTTCGAAAAGGAGAGACATCAATATTGACAAAATTATGTTTAAGTATATAAAACACAAAGAATACAAATGAATGCAATATATTGAATAATATATCATTTTGAGAAAAAGGTTCATTTATCCTTTATTTGTACTCTGTTAAACGTGAAAACATTACTGTGGTATGATTATTTTAGAATCTATTTTGAAAACTAGTACATATATATAGTTACCAAATTATAAAAATCACGTCGAAAGAAGTTTACATACTTCATTTTGTAATATATTTGCCTGTCTGTCTGTAAACAGTTTTTCAAAATGCTACTCCTCCTGCAGCTTTGGTCTGATTTCAATACAACTTGGCACACAAATAGACTACACTAAGATTCTTAATTTCTGTATCGATTTTCGATTTCTGTGAACGGTGTTGCGTTAGTTACTAAAATGATATAATAAAATGCTACTTATCCAACATGTTTTGTCTGATTTCAAAATAACTAAGCTCACATGTAGACTAAACTTTAAGATATCGGTTTTTGATTTCGATGAACGGTGTTGCCGTGGTTACTAAAATAGAAATTTCTTTGAAATACTTTCAATATGCTTATTCTCCTACAGTTTTAGTCAGATTGTTATATAATTTGGCATGCAAGTAGACTATACAGGCATACACTATTATTTTGATTTTGTTGATTGATGTTGTCATGGTAACTAAAATTGGAAATTCTGTAAAATTTTATTGAAAGCTATTGTTACAGTTGTAGTTTTATTGCAATCTTGCCATAAAAATAGACTTAATTAAGGACCGTCATTCTTTTTATTGCTTTTGTTAAGGTAAAGTTTTAAGCACCAACATTACTGCTACTTTTTTCTTCCTTTATTATAAGTAAGTACAAACGATTAGAGCTACAGTCTCGACAGAGATATATTTTTTTCTTTCGATATATAAAAATAAGTTTACATCTGACTAATATTAAAATGAAATAGATTTAAATGAATAGTTTTTTTCGGTCCAAGAGAGACCCTAGTATTCATTCCTTTTACATTATTCATTAAGAGAAATGGTCCAGTTCCTAAAAAAATGTTGTCCACCCTTTTCTGAATCTT